CACAGCAGCCTCTCCTGGCCCTGTTCCCTGGGAAGAAGAACAGCTTTTCCTGCTGCTCCAGGTCTTTTATTCCAAGCCCTCCTCTTTTCCTATTGGCCAATTTTGGCTCCAAAACCTCTCAGGGGCTTCTGGAAGTTGTAGGTCCAGCCTCACCTACTGCTAGCCAGGCTCCCTGGGCCTAGTAGGCTTCTGGTGGCACAGCCCAGATCATGACATGAGGTGGAACAGCAAGAGTCAATTAGTCTCTTCCAGTGAGAGCATGACTACCCCCTCCCCTTTTCGCTGCTGACTGAATATGAGTGGTAGGGAGCAGTGCTCTCCCCAGCCGAGAGGCCTTTGGGCTCGCACTTTCCACCTCAGATGACAGACAGGCACAGATAAATGTAAAAAACTTAAATTACTGACTGAACTGAACTGGAAACAGACAATATAAAAACTGAATCGGGCTCTTGTGAGAGGGCAGTGCCTTGCTTTTAAAGAAGAGAAGAGATGGGATTAATACCCCGCCCTTAGGTGCAGAATTCTAACAGTGAGTGGGTGAAAAGAAAAGAAATCAAATGCCCTAACGATTAACTCCATGCTCCTAACCAAACACCAAACTGGTTAGAAGAAGAAGAGATTGGATTTCTACCCCGCCCTTCACTACCCAAAGGTGTCTCAGAGCGGCTTACAGTCTCCTTTCCCTTCCCCTCCCCACAACAGACACCCTGTGAGGTCGGTGGGGCTGAGAGCCCTCCCCCGCAGACTGCCCTTGAGAGAACAGCTCTGAGAGTACGGAGGAGCGGGGAGTCAAACCCGGTTCTCCCACACTGAAGTCTGCGCTCCTAACCATGACACCAAACTGGCTCTACACCACTGCACCAAACTAGAAGACGTACACTGGTCTTCTCTCCCTCCCCAACGAGTGAGTAACTTTTTCCAGCCGGTCGTGGACCTGATCTAAGTTGGTGGACTCCTTGTGGGTTCTCCCCTGCTAGTGCTCAGGCAAGATCGCTTTCTGGGACCCGGGGAAGACCAGAAATCAGTAGGGCACCAGTCTCCCCAATCCCTGCTACTCCAGTCCAGCGATAATGCTCCTTGCTCTCAGCAGGGGGAATCCACCATCTGGAGAATCCGGTGCATCAAAAGGACGTGGACCAGATCTAAGTCGGTGGACTCCTCGTGGGTTCTCCCCTGCTAGTGCTCAGGCAAGATTGCTTTCTGGGACTCGCCGAGACGTCGGGGGAGAGCTGAAATCAGACGAAGGGCACCAGTCTCCCCAATCCCTGCTACTCCAGTCCAGCGATAATGCTCCTTGCTCTCAGCAGGGGGAATCCACCATCTGGAGAATCCGGTGCATCAAAAGGACCAGGCGGCAGGTGATGGGAAAGACCTTTCTCTGCCTGAGACCCTGGAGAGCCGCTCCCATTCTGAATAGACAGCAGTGAGCTTGAAGGAACAAGGGTCCAATTCTGTAGAAGGCAGCTTCATGGGTTCCAAGTATTCGAAATGGGACCACCTCTGTTTAGGGGAGGGACCGTGGCTCAGTGGCAGAGCCTCTGCTTGGCATGCAGAAGGTCCCAGGTTCAATCCCCGGCATCTCCAGTTGAAAGGACCAGGCAGGAGGTGATGGTGAAGACCTCCGCCTGAGACTCTGGGGAGCGGCTGCCAGTCTGAGTAGAGCAGACTAACCTTGATGGAACAACCGTGATATACCACAAAAAATATCCACGGACTTATACATCCTTATCCAAAATTCAGTTTACTGGAGCTAATGAATTCCTCAAGAATCATTCACAATGATGCCACCTACACAACGGACTATACATATCAGGTCTCGTTTCGCTCACAACTTTGTCAGAGTGTGTAGCGTTGAAATGTCAATATCTAATTACAAAGATAAAAACGCTACTATTAAAAAACGCAAGGCTATATATTCAACTGGCTGTTGTATATTTTTAGCCAAAAATGCTAGATTTTAAGGCGCAACTGGCTATTATATAAAGGTAAAGGTTCCCTTGCTCGAAAGCCAGTCGAGTCCGACTCTAGGGTTGCGGTGCTCATCTCCGTTTCCAAGCCGAAGAGCCGGCGCTGTCCGAAGACGTTTCCGTGGTCATGTGGCCGGCATGACTAAACACCAAGGCGCACGGAAAGCTGTTCCCTTCCCACCGAAGTGGTCCCTATTTATCGACTTGCAATTTCTTGCTTTCGAACTGCTAGGTTGGCAGTCACTGGGAGACGGGAGCTCACTCCGTCATGCGGCACACTCAGGTCTTGAACTGCTGAACTACCGACCTTCCACAGCCTGCAGTTCAGCGTCTTAACCACTTGAGCCACCGCAGCTATTCTATACTTACAGTTAATTCATTTAGCAAGCTCTATGGCAAAATCTCTTAGAGCCATTCATCAATTCACGGGTGTGATGCAGGTCTCAAACGTTCATATCGCCTATCTGCATATCTAAAGCCAATAATTACCGCCCGCCGGCCGCCCTCAAGCCTTGCCCTTTAAAGAGACAAAACCCGTTTTCAAAGGCAGAATTACCATAAGGAGACCACCATATAAGGTAATACAAACATGCCTAAAATACTTTTGCCATTTCAAAAGCGCCGATCATCCCTGCCACCCAATAGCCATACTTTGCAATGTTCCCTCTAAGCTGTGGAGTCTTGTGAGCAAAAATTCTACTTTGTGAGCTCTTGGCATTAAAGTTGTGAGCGAGCCATTTGGCTACTGCATAAATTAGTTTGCTCTGGAGCCCTCCTTTCTGAGCAAAGACAAAAATGTGTGAGCCAGGGGCTAAAAAACTGTGAGCTAGCTCACACTAACTCAGCTTAGAGGGAACACTGCTTTCAAGAACAGGAACAATTCCAAAAGACAGAATTATCAAGAGGTAAGGTCAAGGTTTCCCTTGCTCGAAAGCCAGTCGAATCCAACTCTAGGGATGCGGTGGTCGTCTCTGTTTCCAATCCGAAGGGACAGCGCTGTCTGAAGACGCCTCCATGGTCATGTGGCCGGCATGACTAGACGCTGAGGCGCACGGAACGCTGTTACCTTCCCGCCGAAGCAGCACCTATTTATCGACCTGCAATTTCTTGCTTTCGAACTGCTAGGTTGGCAGGAGCCGGGGCCAGAGACGGGAGCTCACTCCGTCACGCGGCACTCGGGTCCCGAACTGCTGATCTACCGACCTTCCGGTTTGCAACTCAGCGTCTTGACCACTTGAGCCACCGCGGCCCTATCAAGAGGGAGAAACACCAATTGAAATACTCCACTGATGGACCGAGGGCCTGATTGCTTACAGGGTCACTCGAGAGAAAAGGATACTTCCCTTGATCAGCGTCGGCTCGCAGGAGTAGTCCCAGTCAATGGGGCATACTCGATAATAAAGCTGTGACAGATGCCTGCAAGATAAAGAGTTGGGGGGTAGGGCTGTAAGGGAGCAACCACACACCCATGAGACCCTTGCAGTTGAGGAGTCCTGTCGTGCCCCGGTTAGTGCTCGGAGGAGAGACCACCAAGGAGGCCCAGGGTTGCTACGCAGAGGCAGGCAAGGGCAAAACACCTCTGCTCGTCTCTTGCCTTGAAATCTGGACGGCCCAGGGTAGCCCGATCTCGTCAGATCTTGGAAACTAAGGAGGGTTGGCCCTGGTCGGTATTTAGATGGGAGACCACCAGGAAAGTTCAGCTACACATGGGAGGGAAAACAGCAAACCAATCTCTGTCTGTCTGTGACGTGGATGGCCCAGGCGAGCCCAGCCCCATCCAATCTCAGGAGCTAAGCAGGATCGGCCCCGGTTAGTACTTGGATGGGAGATCACTAAGGAAGTCCAGGGTTGCTACGCAGGGGAAGAGTTCGGCCGAAACTCTAAGGCAGGGGTGTCAGACTCATTTGTTACGAGGGCCGGATCTGACATAAACGCCACTTGGCCGGGCCATAAAAGGTAATGCCGGGTACCGGAGGTATAAACTTCATAAAGGACACAGGGAAACCCAATTAATATTATCTTCACTCAAAATACAAACATAAGCAATCGATTCCTAGCAGTGAAAGTGACTGATTTGCTGGGGAACCTACAAAAGTCCCTATAAATGTATTTAATCATATGCAAGTCTAGGTTTTTACCCACAAAAGGGGGAGTACCTTACATTTCCATACACACCAGTTGCTCGCGGGCCGGGTAAGAGCCCCGGATGGGCCGCGTCCGGCCCCCAGGCCTTACTTTTGACACCCCTGCCCTAAGGAGCTAGCACAGATGTAGACTCACGTCGCTGACTTGGATGCATTGGTGTCCTCTTCCGCCGCCTTCTCCTGCTGTTCGATTTCGTCCCTCAGTGCATCCAGCTCCTTCCTCAACTTCGTATTTCTCCAGCATTAAGGAATTGACTGAACCCCAGAACTACAACCGCATAGCACCCCCCCAAAAAAAACCCTCAAGGAAAGATGACGGGCATATATGGCTGAAATCCCCAGGATTCCCTTGTCTGCTTGGGCTGAAGTGGCTATTTCAGGATTAAAAAAAAAAAAAATAGGGTCACTACTACCGCAGACCCCAAGTTGTGTGACCAAGCCTAGAGAGAGCCCCTCCGAGGGGAATTTCTAAAGCTCGGCACTTGCTGACCTGAAGAAAAGAAGAGATTGGATTTACACCCTGCCCTTTACTACTTGAAGGCGTCTCAGAGCGGCTTTCAAACTCCTTTCCCTCCCCCTCCCCACAACAGACACCCTGTGAGGTAAAAGAAGAGAAGAGATTGGATTTATACCCTGCCCTTCTACTACCCAAAGGAGTCTCATAGCGGCTTACAAACTCCTTTCCCTTCCCCTCCCTACAACAGGCACCCTGTGAGGTAAAAGAAGAAGAAGAGACTGGATTTATACCCCGCCCTTCACTACCCAAAGGAGTCTCAGAGCGGCTCACAAACTCCTTTCCCTTCCCCTCCCCACAACAGACACACCCTGTGAGGTAAAAGAAGAAGAAGAGACTGGATTTATACCCCATGGCCCTTCACTACCCAAAGGAGTCTCAGAGCGGCTTACAAACTCCTTTCCCTTCCCCTCCCCACAACAGGCACCCTGTGAGGTAAAAGAAGAAGAGATTGGATTCATACCCCGCCCTTCACTCCCCAAAGGAGCCTCAGGGCGGCTTACAAACTCCTTTCCCTTCCCCTCCCCACAACAGACACCCTGTGAGGTAAAAGAAGAAGAGATTGGATTTATACCCCGCCCTTCACTACCCAAGGGAGTCTATGAGCTGCTGACAAACTCCTTTCCCTTCCCCTCCCCACAACAGGCACCCTGGGAGGCAGGTGGGGCCGAGAGAGCTCTCTCGAAAACTGCCCTTGAGAAAACAGCTCTGAAAGAACTTGTGACTGACCCAAGGTCACACCAGCAGCTGCAAGTGGAGAAGTGGGGAATGAAACCAGGCCCTCCTAGAGTCCGCACACTTCACCACGACGCCAAACTGGCTCTGAAGGGGGCATCCAACTGAAGGGAGCAGGACGGAAAATAACTCGCAGGGGTGGCCCAACGGCAGCTCGACTGCACCGGGGCTCCAGCGCCATTGTGGCAGGGCCTGAAAAGGAGGCATGTTTGAAGCCCGGAGTTTGCCCCCAAGGGATCTGACGTTTGGGCACCACCCTCCGGGTCCGCTTGCTGGGATGGCCAAGGGCTTCCCTTGCGCCTCTTTCGGGAAGGATATTCGGCGCTGATCTTCAGTCCGGCGTCTTTCTCTCTGTCCTGAAGTAGGGTGTCCTCGATTTTCTGTAACTTCTGGAGGCTTTCCTTCAGCTCTTCGTCCCTGTCGGAGAGCTTTTGGGCCACCAGCTCCTCAGCGCTCATGAGTTCTGTGGGGTGGAGAGGATATTATTTTTCCCCAAAAAAACCCCCTATTTATTACGATATAATAACAAAGAGTTCAAACATATATCAAAACTCCCTCCCCCCCCCTTCTCGGCTTCCCACAGTGCTCCAACCTCCAGCCCAATTCTTAAATTTTCTTCATACCTCCCTTTCTCCTTATTCACATCCATAGGTAACTTATCCTTCAACTGTTATTCTTATACATTTATCTATTTTCGATTATCCTTTAATTTTCAATAATTCTCAAAGCAAAGTAAATTGTCCTTTACATCCTATTTCTCCAAATAGTCTTTAAAGTCTTTCCAGTCTGCAAAAAAATGCTTCTGCTTCCAAATTATTAAGTTTCCTTTTCTGGATATTAAATTCTTAAAGGCATCAGAACTTGGCTGGCTGGCAAGAAACTGATTTTGTTTCTTCAATTTATACCCTGCCCTCCCCGCAAGCAGGCTCAGGACGGCTTACATAGTTGGTCTATAAATGACCCGTCAATTCACATAAAATCAATTTAAAATTTCAAACGCAGTAAAAACATAGACTCATAAAGTGCTCGTGCTGAGACGCTGGGTACATAAGATGGCACGCTGAAAATACCTTACAGACAAACAGTTTGCCACTCAGTGGTCTTCCCGAGCATGGTGGTGGAGGCCAGATGTTAGAACTGCGGGACGGCTCGTTGGTAATAGCGGGGGCGGCTCCTACTTGAAAGCCTGGCGGAAGAGCTCCATCTTGCAGGCCCTGCGGAACTGCACAAGATCCCGCAGGGCCCTGATCTCGTCCGGGAGCTCGTTCCACCAGTACGGAGCCGCCACTGTCATAAGAACATCAGAGAAGCCAGTGATGGATCAGGCCAAGGGCCCATCCAGTCCAACACTCTTGTCACACAGTGGCCAGAAATACCAGTGCCATCAGGAGGTCCACCAGTGGGGCCAGGACACTAGCAGCCCTCCTGCTGTTGCCCCCCCTCCCAAGCACCAAGAATACAGAGCATCCCTTGCCCCAGACTAAGAGTTCCCATCTATGCCTTGTGGCTGATAGCCACTGATGGACTTCTCCTCCAGATGTTTATCCAGTTCCCTTTTGAAGCCGTCCATGCTTGTAGCTGCCACCACCTCCCGTGGCAGTGAATTCCATGTGTGAATCACTCTTTGGGTGAAGAAGGACTTCCTTTTATTCTATCCCATGCATAATCTTATAAACCTCGATCATGTCACCCCTCAGCCGTCGTTTCTCCAAGCTAAAGAGCCCTAAGCGCCTTAACCTTTCCTCATAGGGAAAGTGTTCCAACCCTTTGATCATTCTAGTTGCCCTTTTCTGCACTTTTCCCAAAGCTGTAATATCCTTTTGGAGGTGTGGTGACCAGAACTGCACACGGTACTCCAAATGTAACTTATGCAGCAGCCAAATCGCTCGCTCACGACTTAAATGGCGGTAGCTCAGAGTAGAATTTTTGCTCACAAGGCTCCACGGCTTAGAGGGAGCATTGCCCACCAGTGCGGGAGACCGGGAGACCTTACCGCTGCCACCCTTCCTCGGAAGACCCCCACCGGAGTCCCGTTCAGGTGCGGCAAAGCCAGGGGAGGGGGCTCACCTTCGATCAGCTGCACGGTGGTCTTCTTGGTCAGCAGGAGCTTGTCGATCATCTGCTCCTGTTTCTCCAGGTTTTGCCGCAGGAGTTTCCCCGCCTGGGCCGAGGCCATCATCTTCACCATCTCCTGGGCCATCTCCTCCAGCTCCTGCATTCTCTTGCTGAGGCCGGCCATCGCGGGGGAGTCACACCCGCCTGGAGGGAGAGAAGCGTCACGGGTTTATTTGAAGCATTTCCAGGCGGAAGCCGTGCTGGTCTGCAGTCGAAGAGCTGGGTTCGAGTGCAGCGGCACCTCGGAGACCAAGAAGATTCTTTTTTTGGGGGGAGGGGGTTTTGAACCGGGAGCTTCGCTCTCAGTTCTTCTGCCAAGGTCTGTCAGGGCTCAAGGCCTCAGGTTGGCAAAGAGCAACTCGCTTTCGCTTTATCACTTTGCACTTTGCAGGCTCACCTCCTTCAGTCTCCGGTCTGGCTCTGGGCAAAGGGAGGGAGACACCCATTAACGACGACGCTCCACACTTATTGAAGGTGATTACAAGAAAAAAACACCCAGGGGGTCATTTCCTGCGGGAGCCCACAGGAGCGGAGCTCCGGCTGTACAGAGCCCAGGGGGGCGGGCATATGCAACAAGCCCCACCCCCTGCTCCCAGCAGCCCTCAGTCAGAGCAAGAAGTGGTGGGTGTTGCCTTCTGACACACTTCCGGTGACGCCAGGGGGCGTGCTGAATGCAAATAAGTTATGCTAAGGAGTTATCCTAATAAGCTCCTGCATCTCTCTTTCTACGAAATGACCCCTGGGAACAACTACATCATCGCACCCCAGCAGTGAATATCAAAACATATCAGCGTTCGCAAAGTTTCATGCTCCTGGGCCCGGCACAACTTAGAAAGTACATTAGCCTAGGTCTAAAGGAAAACATCTGATATTAAACTGCCTGCTGGCCACTCAAGGCCCAGTAGCTAATTATTATTTGCAGTTGTGGCGCTCTTAAAGAAAAAGGAAAAACTCCAACATCTTCAACGAAACAGTCCACAGGGCTAGAGCTGAGACCACTTAAGAGTCTCAAGTTAATCGTCTAAAGGTAAAAACAGAAGCCCGTGCTGCTTTCATGCAGGGGGGGAAATAAGCTTTTGAGAGCCAAAACTCAAATATCTGACCAAGCTCATAACCCAAAAATCTTGATGGACAGCCAAGTTAGTCTGCCTGCAGCAGGAAGGCCGAGCGCTGAAGAATAGACGCTTTCGGATTATGGTGCTGGAGAAGAGTCCCTTGGACTGCAAGGAGATCAAATCAGTCAATCCTAAAAGAAATCAACCCTGACGGTTCCCTGGAAGGCCAGAGACTGAAGCTGAAGCTCAAGTACTTTGGCCACCCAATGAGAAGGGAGCACTCCCTGGAGAAGAAGACCCTGATGCTGGGAAAGATTGAAGGTCAAAGAAGACGGGGACGGCAAAGGAGATTGTCAGACAGTGTTATTGATGCAACGAACGTGAAGGACGACGGAAGGGCCTGGCGTGATGGGGTCCGCGGGGCCGCAAAGAGTCGGACTCGACAGTGCAACGGAAGAACAGCAGCAGCGGTAGAAAAGAGCGAGAGTTAGGCAGCACCTTAATGACTGACAACATTTGCAACTGGGTCAAAGCTTTCGTGAGACACAGCTTGCTTCTTCAAACAGACCAAGACGGGTAGCCGTGTTAGTCTGTCTGCAGCAGGAGAAAAGAGCAAGAGTCCAGGGGCACCCTACAGACTAACCACATTTGTGGCAGGGGAGGAGGTTTCCTGAGTCCCGGCTCAATGCTCCCTCTAAGCTGTGGAGTCTTGTGAGCAAAAATCCTACTTTGTGAGCTACTGGCATTAAAGTTGTGAGCAAGCCATTTGGGTACTGCATCAATTAATTTGCTCTGGAGCCCTCCTTCCTGGGCGAAGACAAAAACGTGTGAGCCGGAGGCTAAAAACTGTGAGCTAGCTCACACTGACTCAGCTTAGAGGGAGCACTGCCTCACCTCTTTAGGTACTGGACGGATGACCTCCCAAAAGTCCTATTGTTTAACAGCCAGGCAAACAGAAGGCTGCGACTTCCTCAACCGAGTCAGACCAAGACGGGCAGCCGAGGTAGTCTGTCTGCAGCAGGAGAAAAGAGCAAGAGTCTAGTGGGATCTGAAAGACTAACAAAATTTGTGGCAGGGGAGGAGCTTTTGGGAGTCACGTGACTCACTTAACATAAGAACATAAGAGATGCCAATGTTGGATCAGGCCAAAGGCCCATCCAGTCCAACACTCTGTGTCACACAGTGGCCAGAAATACCAGTGCCATCAGGAGGTCCAGCAGTGGGGCCAGGACATTAGAAGCCCTCCCACTGTTGACCCCCCCCCCAAGCACCAAGAAGACAGAGCATCACTTGCCCCAGAGCCCCTAGCTATACCTTGTGGCTAATAGCCACTGATGGACCTCTGCTCCATATGCTTATCTAATTCCCTTTTGAAGCCGTCCATGCTTGTAGCACCCACCACTTCCTGTGGCAGTGAATTCCATGTGTTAATCACTCTTTGGGTGAAGAAGTACTTCCTTTTATCCGTTCTAACCCGACCGCTCAGCAATTTCATGGAGTGCCCACGGGTTCTTGTATTGTGAGAAAGGGAGAAAAGTACCTCTTTCTTTACCTGCTCTTTCCCATGCATAATCTTATAAACCTCGATCATGTCACCCCTCAGTCGTCTTTTCTCCAAGCTAAAGAGCCCTAAGCGCTTTAACCTTTCCTCATAGGGAAAGTGTTCCAACCCTTTTATCATTCGAGTTGCCCTTTTCTGCACTTTTTCCAAAGCTATAATATCCTTTTTAAGGTGTGGTGACCAGAACTGCACACAGTATTCCAAATGAGGTCGCACCATTGATTTATATAGGGGCATTATTATATTGGCTGATCTGTTTTCAATACCCTTCCTAATAATCCCCAGCATAGCAACTTCTTCAGATACCTGACTCACAAACGCTCCTGCGCTAGCACAAATTTAATAGTCTCTAAGGTTCTATTGGACTCTTGCTGTTTTCTACTCCCCAAACCATGTTGGTCTCTAAGATGCTACCTGGACTCAGCTCTCATTATTTTAGGCACTCCTCTTTCAACCCAAAAAATAATTAAAACCACACGCACAGAAAAAAACCACACGCACAGAAAAAAACCACACCAGAACCACCCCCATCCCCGTTTCCCTCCCAAATTGCTTATATACAATGAAAAGACAGGAGTAGGAGCAGGAGCCGCCGCTGCCATTGTACCACCACCGTGTGGTCATCTTTGTTGGTGGAATTTTTTTACAAGGTGCGCCGGCCCTGGGATGGAAGAACTGACAAAGTGGAGTACTAACCAGAAGAGACGTCAGCATTCCCTGGAGCATATCATCGGAATCCCCATCTTGGAATTGTTATAGTTTACTGCAGGGCTATTTTTGCAAAGGAGTTCCTGCAACAAAAAAAGGCCCTGGGTTTTGACCACAAACAAGGTCAACAGAATACGAAGCAAAAGGTGGGTGTGGCTGGATGACCACACTTCTGGTAACATGGGGGTGTGGCCTAATGTGCCAATGAGCTGTGCTGTCAGGGTGTGGCCTAATATGCTAATGA